TCAAAATGACACAAATTAAAAAAAGTAAGAATTCAAAGACATTGAATTTTTTAATTTAAATTAAAATAAAATAAAATTATTTTTTTGTAAAATTATATTGGGTTTCAAAATAGGTTCTTTCTTAAACTGAAACTAAAACAAAAAAAACTTAATTGAAAGACCTGAATCTAAAAATAAATACATAAAATAAAAATATTTAGTGAAATAGGAATTAAAAAATAAAAGTTACTTTAAATTTTAAAGTTTAAAATTTTGAAGGTATGATTTGCAAAGCCTGTGGAGATGTAAACACAGAAATGAAAAGGAAAGAATTGCAGGCAAACAATTTTTTAGTGAGGACGACTCTTAAAATACATGACAGACATCCATATATATATGAAAATGAGAATGTTTCCACACTAATAAATTTTTTTTTTTTTTAAATATTGAGGGTAAACAGCTTTTAAGTTTTTCAATCTTCACTTAATTTATCACCTAACCAGATTAAAGTAATGCAGAATTTTAAATGATTTAAGTCACTATAATTATAATTAAAAAAAAAAAAATGAAAACAATTCTTGTAAAAATTCATTGTTCATTGAAAAAAAGTTTTTTCTTAAAGACAATAGCGTCCTTAATAAATCTTATTTATAAAAGCAATTAAAAGCTTTTCTAATTAAATAATGTCATAGTTTTATTGCAATTTTTATTTTACAATTCAGAGCAGATTTTCAGTAACTTGGGAGGGGGGGGTCTGTTTTACAAAAAAAAAATAAATAAATAAATAAAAAAAGAAAAAAAAAGAAAAAGATGATGATTTAAATTCTCCAAAGAGTCCTGCTTTTAACTAATAAAACAAATTTTGAGATTGCAATTTCTCGAAATTTCATGAAATTAAATAACGGATAACATATATAAAAAACAATTTTTAAAAAATTTGGAGGTATGTATTTTTACTCCTTAATAATGTTTTTCTTATATTCACACTCAGTAACCCCCAGCGTGTTAGTGACCTTTTTTGGGATAAAAAGGTTAAAAAAGAAGAAAACGGTATTTTATTCAATTAAAAAAAAAAAAAAAAAAAAATGTAAGGGAGGTAATTCCGTATTTGCACAACAAATACTGAATTACCTCCCTTATAATGCAAAAATTGTTTTGAGCAGTAAAAACAACAGGACCCACATAATGTTGTCTGTACAGAGATTTTTTTACACTGACTAATGTCCTCATCTTTGTTGTTGTTATCACAATGTTTCGGCCATTGTGCATTCCAGCCTTCTTCGGGTGCTTACCAATCCGAAAAACCTTCTGGGAATTTCAAATTGAACCCTTTATTTAAATTGTTCTCATTCCACTGTCCATGTGTAGAGGAATTAATGTGAAAAGCAAAGCAATAAACAATCCTCAAACACGGATCTACAAATTTAAATACATTTTATTATTGAGTATGTATGTGTTTCCTTTCAAATTGAAAGAAATAAGTTACAAAAGATCCTTGTGAAACAAATTCACAAAAAAGATTTTGTTTTTTCTTTACAGTACAATCAAATCAATTACATTAGTATAATAGAAGAAACAGTATGTGGCCCCCATAAGTTTGATGGAAGTGTTGAGAGAGAGAGGGAGAGATAGAGTCAACACATTAAATTTATTAATAAGAAAAAAAATAAAATAAAAAGCAAATTTTCTTGTAAATTTAAAAATAAAATAACTGTTTTGATAAATCTTGAAAAACAGTTTCTTAATTGAACTGTTTTTATATTTAATTTTAAAAAATTTGTTCTGTCAATTTAAAAAAAAAAAAAAATTGTGATAATTCTCAAAAACTATTTTTTTTTTAATTGAACTGTGATGAAGTGTAAATACTGTTTTTGTTTTAAATTTGATTCAATTGAAAAAACAGAGTTGAACTGTCAATTAAAGTGATTCAGCATGATTTAAAATTGTTTTGGGGACAATGGTAAAAAAATTTAGTCTGTAGCCTGTAAAAATTTATTAAGAAATTTTAGTTGAAACCCATCCTAATCACCACCTGTGAGTCCTGGGGAGTAACTATATTAAAAACATATCCGCATCACTGGCCGAGTCCTATGTTATTAATTAGATGTGTCACATCTTGTGACAAATTCCTGAAGTTAAATAAACACAATCTCTTTAATGCTTCACATTTTAGCAGCCATTTGCAATGTGAAAAGAGTGAAACATAATTCTATTTTATCAGCAATACTGGCCATTCTTCCTGATTTTTCAGGAATTTTTAGTGTAAAATAATTCACTATACACTTCAATAGTAAAATCCTTTGAATTCTGTCTTAAAAAATAAAGGAAAGGGGATGTTGAATTTTAAACTTTTAAATTATTTTTTTTTCTTAAATGTGTTTCGTTGGAATTTAATTTGAGAATAATATTTTACAAGTTCACATTCTCGCTATTTTTTCTATCCTCACTCCAACCTCTTTTTACTTTCAAAACCGGCTCACAAAGCCTTGATTCTTATTAGAGATAAGAATATATTTTCTGATCAATGAAGGGACCAGGAAATTTGTTTAACAATTTTGGAGAGAAAAGTCCCCGATTCTTTGGAGCCTACCAAATCTCCAAAGATTTGGAGAATCTTTCCCTATTTGGCAGTGAGAATTCAGCCCACTGTCTGTAAGTTTGGCAATAGGGAGCTCCAGTCAACTTCAGAACCACTTTCAACCAAAGAAGAACTACCTACTAAAGGGTTGTTGAGAACAAATGTTGGCCAACAATTGAAAGCTGCATTCCCTTCACCACTCCTTCTGACATGCCCACTGGACTTCTGTTGTCAACCTACAAACTCACTCAACTGCAAGATTCCTATATCTACCAACAATTTTCCTACTCTACAAGAACTGTGAGTGTTTCTAAACCTAAACAAAATTTTATTCGCTTAAAGAACTTTTTAGGCACTCAGTGAAATATTTTGAGCAAGCCTTTTTTCTGTTATGAAAATTTTCTCTTCCCTTAAAGGACATTTTCTCTTTTTTCTTTCTTTTACTCCTAATTGTCTTCTTATCCCTTTACCCTTTTTTTCTGTAAACACTTTCTTCTTTTATTGTTACACACCGAGCAGGAGTTTTCTTTATTCGTCCACACCTAAAAGAGAGAGTTTGTCCACTCTAATCTTGCTGTTTTTAACTCATGTTTTGTCGCAATTTTTCAACCTCAACCCTTGGATGCAGTTTATGTATATATAGTCTAATTACATTAAGTTTCTTTATATCACTTTTGTTATTTAGTATAAAACATTATGATAATAAAAGATCTGAGAAGTAAAGTGAAATGTTGTAAGAAGCCAGATGTAAACTTACTGTGGATGATTTAGTGATTAAAGCACTTTGTATTACATTTTCATATTAGTAAATTTCTTTCTCTTTTAATTAAGAAAAAGAAATAATGTAATCAGTAATTATATACATAAACATACATTAAAAAAAAAAAAAATTAGTTTAAAATTTCAGTATAGTGTCTCTTTTGTGCACGTGTTATCACATCAATGTAAACATCGCCTTAGTCCAATGAAATCCTATGTGTCACATGAAAAAATGTTTCCATTTGTCATAGATGTCCCTAAAAAAATATATATGATCTTTATTATGATAAGTATGCGGAAAATGATTATGGATCACATTCCAGAAAATAAGTACAACTTAAAAGAAAAATTTTAATTTTTTAAAAATTGTTTACAATAGGATTTACGAGAATCGAGTATGAATATTTAAAAACTATTTTTAACCTCCCTTCCCGATTTTGCTCCCCCAGCCACACACATTTTATTTTGTGGTGATAATTTTGTATATGAGCAAATAATAAAACGTAAGCACTTTTATTTTTAAAATGGGGGTGACAGTAGAAGATTACTATCGTTGACCTATGACCTTGATGACAACTCGTGTCATTTCGCTATTTTAAGCAAAAAGTAAGTATATAGATTTTTACAAAATGTAGTTAATTAATCCTTGAATTTATTAGTTTACTTTAAAAGCAAATCTATCAGGCAAATATTACATTTTAAAGAGATTTTTATATGTTGTTTTCATTTTTCGTCTATGCTCGATGAATAGCTGAATGAGTGTCACTGTAGTGTCAAGTGTCAAGGTTTTAAAAATTGCCAAATCTTAATAATACATTTTTTCTTTACAGATAAGCTTTGATATCCTTCAGATAAAGCCAAAATTTAATTTAAAAAAAAAAAAAAAACATTTTATTTAAAATGTGTGTGTGTATTTTATTTTTAAGTCCTTCTTCGTAGTAATAACCAATAGTTTTTTTTTTTAAATGTGAAGATAAAAGACCGGCTATTAGACATGCTTTCAAGGCTTAAAAGTAGGAATTTTTAAAAAGAAGTTTTAGTATATATTTACAAACATTCGTGTATAATAAACTATTTCCACGAAATCCCCTAAAACTTTTTAGGGCTAATTTAAAAAACAATAAAACTGTCGTCTTGTCACACCGGGACACGACAGACTTTTCAAACAGGGACGATAAAGATTGCATACGAAAAAAATAATTCGTTGTGTATAAGCTACTTAAATCAATAAATGAATTAAAATATGCTTTAACTGGTATTAGTGGTGGATATATAAAATGTATTCAACTAATTAGCTTAATTAAACATTATTTTGCTAAGAAGAGCCTGTTTGGGGTTGCCGGTTGATTAAAGAAAAGTTCCTCCGAGAATTACGTATCTCTCTTGTAAACGGAATAAAGAAGCAACGATAAAAAAATACTCATATCTCGCTAGAAACTCAAGAATTAATGACAATTTCTATCTCAATATTTCCAAATCTCAACACTTTAACCACAAAAACTGAAAGTAAATGAATGTTTTCTACGCAGTATTAAATGAATGCGAGTAACAATAATAAGTAAAGTCTTCAAAGTAAAGAGAAAATAAAAAACGGTTTGTCGGCTTAGCTAATCCCAAATATGCATTTTATTATCTCTAAACATCGCTAGCATCATAAGATATTTAATAACGAAATTTAACTCACGACTTTGTTTTCATCATTGATAAATTCGTCCAAATTTTCCATGTACATCGCATCGACACTGTTAACATCACCGCTCGCCATTTTTTTTCCCGCGTTTCTTCACAATGTGATAAGTATGGAAGCTCAAGTGTGTAATAATCATTAGAAATTTTTATTTTATTTTTTATTTCATATTAATACTTGATTAATTTATGAGACCTTATCTTATTTTATGTCATGCAACTATTGTATTATAATTAACAATTTTATCGTTATGCCAGATTAACTCAAACTGAGTAAGTAATTATAACTTTTTCGTCCAGAACTTTTTTCTTGTCTGTTCATAAGTTCATAGATATGTAAATAATATAATCTCATTTCAAATAAATAATGATATAGTAAACCATTTTAATAAAAGATTCACAGTTTTATTGAATGTAATGTTGTAATGCTTGCCTTCAATATGCCCTATGAGTGTTAAATTTTCTAAGCACTCTTTTTTCATTATGTGCCCTAGAAACGTCAACTATCTCTTCCAGATGTTAAGTATGTGTCCTTTTTGTTTTCATTTTCTCTAAAACTGTCATTGCTCAGATCATGGTATTCTCAACATTCTTCTGTAGAACCACATTTCTGTTGTGTCAAGTCTCTTCTTCATCTGATTGTCCAGCATTTATTGTTATATAGGAAGTCTGATATTACATAACAATTCAGTACTTCTTTCTTTGTTTCTAATGAGGTTTTCTTGTTTTTTAATACTTTGCTTAGCTTTTGGAAGGCAGCTTTCATTATCCCAACGTGTCTTCAGATTTTGATATTGCACTTTCTCAGGTTTAGTTAAAACACTTCCTAGATATTTAAAGTTTTATACTTGATGATTTTGGCATCTCCAATTTATGATTTGCCTGATGGGCTCTTCTTTCTGTTGACAACCATCCATTCTATCTTATTTTAATTAATGTTTAGTCCTTTCTTCTTGCTTTCCTTTACTAAGTTATGATAGACCTTGTTTGACACCTGTTTTTGCTTAGCAAAATATAACATAATTTAAGGATTTATTACCAGAAGGATTTGTTTGTACTAGTTTGGTAAATATATGAAAGTTCTTGTAATGTCATTTAACAATGACATTACAAGAACAAGGTTTCTGATTTTGGTGTTTGTCTTAGTGAATGAATAGATTATTTGTAAGTGTTAAGTCTATCATTTAAAGCTAATATTAAACATGAGAAAGTGATATTTGTGTAAGATTTACCCATTTCCACCTCTGCAACACTTGTTACATTTTCTACGCAAACCAAATGTTGATCGCTTGCCAACCCAAAGCAGACTGTATAAATATGTCTTATCTGCATCGGTTCCATGCATACATCCACTTTAACCAAAACAAAATGAACAATATATTATGACCAGCCATTGTCACTCCTGTCAAAACCAAAACCTTAATTTGGAGCCAATTGACAGCTATATATACTTAAATTCAAACAGACTCAAAACTGAACAGTATTTGATGTCAACACTGGCATGCTGAGAGAGAGAGAGAGAGAGAGAGAGAGAGAGAGGTGACACAGATCAGTGTTTGATGTCAACACTGACATGCTGAGAGAGAGAGAGAGGTGACACAGATCAGTGTTTGATGTCAACACTGACATGCTGAGAGAGAGAGAGAGAGAGAGACAGAGGTGACACAGATCAGTATTTGATGTCAACACTGACATGCTGAGAGAGAGAGAGAGAGAGGTGACACAGATCAGTGTTTGATGTCAACACTGACATGCTGAGAGAGAGAGAGAGGTGACACAGATCAGTGTTTGATGTCAACACTGACATGCTGAGAGAGAGAGAGAGAGAGTGACACAGATCAGTGTTTGATTTCAACACTGACATGAGAGAGAGAGAGAGAGAGAGAGAGAGAGAGAGGTGACACAGATCAGTGTTTGATGTCAACACTGACATGCTGAGAGAGAGAGAGAGAGAGAGAGAGAGACATAGATCAGTATTTGATGTCAACACTGACATGCTGAGAGAGAGAGAGAGAGAGAGAGAGAAAGTGAGAGATCAGTGTTTGATGTCAACACTGACATGCTGAGAGAGAGAGAGAGGGTGACACAGATCAGTGTTTGATGTCAACACTGACATGCTGAGAGAGAGAGAGAGAGAGAGAGAGAGAGAGAGAGAGAGAGAAAGTTTGATCAGTGTTTGATGTCAACACTGACATGCTGAGAGAGAAAAGAGAGAGAGAGAGAGGTGACACAGATCAGTGTTTGATGTCAACACTGACATGCTGAGAGAGAGAGAGAGAGAGAGAGAGGTGACACAGATCAGTATTTGATGTCAACACTGACATGCTGAGAGAGAGAGAGAGAAAGAGAGAGAGAGAGAGAGAGAGAGGTGACGCAGATCAGTGTTTGATGTCAACACTGACATGCTGAGAGAGAAATGCCACTGACAACAGCCATCACCAACATCTATTTTACCTCTAATTTCACCATTCTCTCTCCCTGTTGCCATAGCAACAGCTATAAATAGCAGTTACTAGTTTTGTATATATGTAAATAAATTATACATTTACTTAAATTTATAGTACTTACGTAAATAAATTATACATTTACTTTACAGACTCAATGTCATCTTTTGTTTGACAATTGGATTTACATTTGCCGAGGCTGAAAAGAAATTAACCTCCACAATAGTAGAGATTTACTTAACCCCCACCTCCTGAGTCAGATTGTGACACAAGGTCAGTTATTAATGTGGGGACCTGAGTGTTTTCACTCAGGTTGCTGGTCCAAGCTGGTCATAGCTTGTCCAAGCTAGTCATGGCTGGTCTTGGCTGGTCTTGGCTTGTCATAACTGGTCCAAGCTAGTCGTAGCCGTGATACTACCAGCACAGAGACGGATCTCTACAACCTCCACAATAGTAGATATTTATTTGAACCCCCACTGAGTCAGGTTGTGACACAAGGTCGGTTTTTAACATAGGGACCCGAGTGTTTTCACTCAGGCCGCTGGTCTAAGCTGGTCCTAGCTGGTCATAGCTTGTCCAAGCTGGTCAGAGCTGGTCTAAGCTAGTCATAGCTGGTCTTGGCTTGTCCTAGCTGGTCCAGGCCAGAACCGGTCCAAGATAGTCCTAGCCGTGATACCACTAGCTCAGGGACGAGCCCTGATCATCAGAAAAACTGGTTTATTTTTTGAAAATCTATTTATGTTTCTTTGTGTTTGTGGGAGTGGGGAATTCTCTTCTGTTTCCATTTTGGGATGACACTCTTGCACACACAAACATATATGCATACAGGTGTAGGTAATATAGTTCACACAAACACACCCATATAAAGAATTCGAGATTAGGTGCAGATACATATCCATCCGTTCGAGTATACATACATATGCAACTGTAATCTTATTTCAGCATCAGGACTGTATGTAGCAAAGTTCTTTCAACAAGGGGGCAGGTTGGGGTGTTCATTGTCAAATGAATTAAAACTTCTTCACATACACACAAGAAGATGTGCACAAAAATCCTATTTGTTTGGGCCTTACATCACCACATAGATTAAGTGGGTTCTGTTTGTGGATATGGTGATGATGATGTATTGAATTTTCAACGCTGACAGCTTGTGTGTTATTGATGATTGTGATTATGTTGTTACTATTCTTGTGTTTGCATTTATTCCTATTTTGAATCCAATTGTTATATATATGACGGTTAGGGGGGTTATCAGGTAAGGCTGAGTTGTAGGAATTTTCCCGGTTGCTTGTGTGTTTGGCAGTGTATAGAGTGGAATTGTTGTGGAGGAGTAGGTTATTAGGAAAAATATGTATATATCAGAAGAAAACTTCTCCACAAACATTTGACTTTGGGTATGGTACAAGGTCATCAACAACAAAATATAAAACAAACAATATACCTTTTTAGAAAAACGAGAACAAAGCCTTTATATAACAAATATATACAACATAACAATGAGAATGTTCTTTAGGACAGAGAGAGTTTGTTCAGTGTTCCTGTCAGTAAAAGGATTTTCAAAGAATTAATCAGTTCAGATTAAATATTTTATATCATAAATTTCTATCATAGTTTGATAGGGATTAAGGTAAGAGTTGTCTCCCTTTACTTGTTGAATATTGAATATATATTTTTTTTGTTAATGAAACAGAATAAAAAAGATGGAAGTTTAAATATTATGTGAATAAAAGTTGATTCAACAAATGAGTAAAGTCTTTTGAAGAAAGTAAGTTGTGTTCTTCCTGGAAACTTTGTTGTAATCGAAATTGGTAAATGAAATGTTGGCTGATATCAAAAGTTGAATATTTTGTTTAAAAGATAAACTTTTAAGCTTATAACTTTTGAGTAAATTGCGCATTAAATATTAAGAGTCTTTTGGCTGTAAGATAGTTGACTCGAAGTAAGCTTGCGTTAGGATATGTTCAATGTTGCTTTTTGAATAAAATGTTTGTTTGGCAAACTGTATGTTCTTTGAATAGAATTCTTGTTGTCTCAATAAGAATCGTAGATGTTAAAATTGAAATGTAATTTGTTTGGTGAGTGAGTGAATTTGAAGTTTGGGATTCAAAGATTTGGATGGCGTAATTTTGTTTGGCGAATTGTTTGATGCCGTAAAGCTCTCTGAAGATTAATGTCGCATTACTGTATTTGTTAACTTTCTAGTCACATGGTCGGTTCCAGGAGCTGTTTCGAATTTTTGGCAGAAAACATGAATGCATAGGCATCGAACACATTTAGATATTTATTAACCAATCAACGGTCAGTAAAATAGATAATATTTAAGTTCAGTGAACACTTTTTTTACAGATATTTTTGATTGCAGTACTATTACATAGGAAATGTACTGGAATCTTTTTTAATTAGTTAGGTCACAATTAGAATTAGTTAGGTCACAAATAAAATATTATTAAATTGAAGTAGAACACTAAAGAATAAACAAACCAAAGTCTCAAAATAACTGTTTAAAGATCTTTTTTTTTGGTTTTTTAAGAAGAAAAATTTTGAAGGAAAAAGTTGAAAATTCCCAATTCTAAAACAGACAATCTCTTGAGTAGATGTTGAGTAGAGAGAAATTTCTCCACTTGTTCCCATGAGG